AAAAGTAGTGGCATCATATGACATCTATTGGGAAACAATAGTATCTACTTTTAATTTAGCTTTTAGTGGTCCTATATCCATGACATCCATGTTTTCTCCTGCTTATATTTAGCCTTTCATAACATGGAAATATGAAGTTAACTCCTTTATATTTTAGTTGAATTGTTCTGAGGGCTGGATGTTAGATTCAGCTGTTTCACATAAAATGAAAGAGTACACAAGTAGTCCTCATTAAGGACCACAATTGGGTTTGGAATCATTGGGGTTGTTAAGTGATTCCATGTACCATGATTTAATTTTATAACTGTTTTTACAATGGTAATAAAGCGAGTTGATAGTAATTAAGTGAATCACATGGCTAAGTGAACAATGTAATCAAGCAGATCCATTCTACGGAATGAGCAATTTTTGCCAGAAATGAGAAAAAAATAACAAATCACTGTGACATGATTGTGGGATACTGCAACCAGTCATAAATTTGAGCTAGTTGCCAATCCTCTGAAATCAGTTAATCACATGACCATGACTTTTTTTGAGTCCATCATAACTTTGGTCAGTAGACAACCTGTCGTCTGTAGTGATTCTCATTCACCCAAGCCATGGTTGACCCAAAGGTGCCTTTTTCAAAAGACAATTGGACAAAAGCATCTTTGGGATAAGCAATCAGTCATTAACGGAGGACTGCCTATAATAACTAACTTGCATATATCTTCTACTTGCTTACTCTATTTAACTATTTTTAGTCTTTAGGTAGCATTTGATTTTGGGGGGGCTTTAAGATGTCTAATTTTTTAAAAAAATATATTAATTTATAAGAAAGGAAAAGATAATAATGAAAATTTTGCTGGATGAATTAATCACTCAGTTTTTCAATATCTTGCTAAATTATTTTAAAGTAAAATTGATGTAAATAGCCTCAATTTACTTCTGTTAGCAATTTTCCTCTGTCTGTTGTTTGAAAGTATTGCCCAATCAGGTTAGTTATTATTAAAATTCAATTATCTCAATGAAAAAAAGTTAAAAGACTTGTATTACCGCGAATTTTAAATACTGCCATTTCTGTGTATTGCACAATTGTTTAAAATTGTATAGCAGTTGTTAGAAAACTTTGTGCGGAATGATAATTGTATAGCAGTTGTTAGACCAAGGTTGTGTGAATGATTGTTCTTCTCAAGCAATATCTTTCCTTCACACACAGGTTTTCTATAAAACTACCCTTGCACCACATAAAACAAGCATGAAATTGCTGCTCCCATTTTTCTAGTGTTTTTGATCATAAAGTAGAAAGTAACAAGCTAATGGGTGTTGGTCTGTTATAGTGAATAAATTCATTGACCTTAATGTTATTAATCATAATAGAGTTTCATAGCTTAGTCTGTTGGATGCAGCTCTTTAAGTGTGCATACTTAGTTTAGAGAAAAAGAGGGAATTATTTGTTTCCATTTCTGCAGTTCCATCAGTGAAAACATACTATTGGAATTGCAAAGGGCAATGCGAGAGGATGTAATGAGATTGCTTTCCTCTCCAATGTTGAAATAATTTCAGTTGCCATGGGTGCTATGCAGCTTGACTCAGAAATGTAGAGCCTACCTGCCTCAAGCTGTAAAATTTCCCAGCCCATATTGGGAACATTTAATGTGATTGTCATGACCTTCTTACCTGTATCTTGGGGTAGAACAATTCTATCCAACTGAAACTTATAAGATGAGCTATAACTTTGAAGTTTTCCGCCAACATTACTTTTTTTTATTTTTATACTTGGACATATTATTTTTTCCAGGTCAAAATTTCATTTGTGCCTCAGTTTGCAGTTAGAAGGGTATACTTGTGTATGCACATGTGTATGTCTTTTTGTGTTGTATGTGTCATGCCTGTAGAGATAAAGAGCTATGAGCTATGAGCTATAGGAGACATTTTAAATGAATAGAATTCTGTGGTTGATTTCCTAGTGATGTAGTATTTTAATAGATCTAAAAGCTATATAATAAAGTGGACTATTCTATGTTATATAATCCAGTCTTATTTTACTGTAAAATGTATATAATTACATATAAGAAAGTAGGCTGCCAGCCAGTCAGGTAAAGTTCTAAATATTGATACTTTTGTTATTTCACAGTAAGATTTTTTTTTTAAATAACATTTTCTTCTTCAGAAACTAGATGACTTTTATTACTATATTTTCTTTTCCAATTTTTATATCAAAAAAGTAGCCAATATATATATATATATATATATATATATATATATATATATATATGAAAGTGAAAATGCCACTCATGCATCATCACAAAATGTCCAGAACCATACAAACTTGAAATTTGGCACATATGTTCCTCTTGGCTTCTAGGAGCTCACTAAGAAAAGATTTTTTCAAAATGACGATCAGAGCATTAGTATTTCGTATATTATTAAATACGCTCTGATGCTAAGGAGTTCTACTCCCACTCCCCATTTGAAAAGAAATCTGTTCCAAATGCAAAACACAAGCAGAGGAGAAGCGTTTTAGTTTTAATTTCACAGCAGCAACCAGCTTTAGTACAGAACAGTTGAGCTAAGCCACACCCAGGCTCCTTGCTGTCTCCTTGCTCACACAGCAAATACTGTTTCAGTTTCCAGACAGCCCTCAACTCTCTCACACACTGACAAGACGCTAGCCAGATGAATATCAATGGATGCTAGTAGGCAGAGGCAGAATTTTTTCCTCCCCCAAAATTAAGCCCGATCACATAGTTTTGTAGTGATGCACAGGTATAGAGGTAGTCTTTAATAAATTTAATCTTTCAGCAACAGAAAGTGGTGGTGGTTGCAGAATTGTTAATACTACGTTGTCCTCATAATATTTCATTTTGCACTTCTTTCATTTTTATAGTATTTTACTACTGCTGTTCTCTTTTAAAAATAGTAAAGGAGTTTAAACAATTATATTAAATATAATAACAAGGTTGTGTTCCCAATGTCGAAATAAACTTTTTCCAGTTTAGGCTTGGCAACATCCAGTGGTGTTTTTTCATAAACATATATTTCAGGCCAATGCTGAACACAGTAGATCTGAGTTAGAGTCCCAAGGTGAGGAATCTTATAATATAACAATGAGGCAATTCTTGATGATTCCTAGCACAGAGCCTGATGGGATATCAAGAAATATTTTGGGGTTCTATTTAAAGACTGGATTAGCAGATTTTTAATCTGTAATTTCAATAAGAAGTATAGAGGTGGAAAGAACTTGAATTCGGCAACTAACGGACAGTTATAAGACAATTGAAATATATGTAATTAGCTGAAGGATAATGAATTGAACTTACTTTATAATAGCACCAAATACTTATGTAGCACCAAATACTTTGGAGTTTGTAATTGTTCCCTTGTGATTCCTCAACCATTCATTTCTATGAGTTCTTATTTTTATGTCATTTGCTTAGAATTAGAGAGTGATCTTAAAAGGCACTGTTTTGGAATTACTTCACATAGATTATGCTGAGCTTCTGAAAGACTCAATCTGCTAGAGCCTCTGCAGAAATCTCTAAGTACAGTTTTAATAGGATGATCTGGTCCACAATATAACCAAATAAGTTTTGTAGGATGCATTTTATACATTTTCCTATCGCCTCCTACAATTCTGACAGAAACATTTGTTTTGAGAACAGACTAGAGATACAAACTAGTTCATTGCTTTGGAATATGTACCATCTTTGTGATCTTTTCTGCATACCAATACAATCAGGATACTCCCATCAGCTACTGATACTACTTTATATATATTTATATGCTTTACAATATTTGTAGAACACCCAATCAGCAATATACAACAAAATAGAACAATCGGGCAAAATTGCATTATTAGTTCCTAAAATAATTTTTTATAATTTTAATAATAATAATAAAATAAGAATAATAATAAAATAATTTTTTTCCAGTTCAAATTTCTCAAGATTTTAGAATATATTCTGATTTTGTTACTATGAAAATAAAGATACTAAGAATGTTAGTGAAATGATCGATGTATTTAGGATAATGTTTCCTCTGATCAACATTTTTAAACATAAATCTTTGATTAGTTGAGTATGTTGTTATGTGCTATGTGATTATCTTTTTGAATAGTTTCTTAATATTTGTATTGCTTATTCCACATTTGATGAAAATAAATGTTAATTATACATTGTATGTTCTTTAATAAAAAAAATGCATAGAGATTGTCTTTTGTTTCAGTTGCATCAAATTTTCTTCAAGATGTGATGAGGTGCATATATCCCTAGAGTACAGTTGTAAACAGTATGACCTGTTTTGGGGGATGGAAAAATCTTGTCCTGTTTCTAAATGTTTCAGGGAAAGAAATGTTCCAGGGTAGTAGTGGTGGTAGTGATGTTATTTCAGTTTGCTTTATTGCCAGGTATTTGACACTGAGTTTTAAAAGAATAAAGTTTATGGCAGCCTTTGGAAATTACCAACTCCAGGGAATCTCAGTTTCCTGCTGTGAAAGTTTCTATTTTCAAAGCACATCACTTTTAGTAGGAATGTTACCATACTCCCATATCCTGCTTCTGACAGAGAGCTGGGTTTCACCCCTGAATATGAGACAGCTACTGAAGAGGTTTCCTTGCTGCTAACAAAATGAATTTCAATATGTTGCCAGTGAACATTCACTCTGTTCCCAACAGCTAATGGAATTTAGCTGCATCAGCTATTAATGAAAACAGTCTTGTTTTCTTTTCTAGCTTCAGTACACGCTACCAATAGTGTGTGTTATGGAGCTGGAAAAGAATGACCAAAGCAACATGCAACTTCTCTTCCCCTTCCCTACAAACTCTTTTTTTCTTACTCTCTCCTTGACCTAGCAGTAGGAAGCCTTTGTCTGAGGTTTTCATCTGGAACAACTTTTCCACACTTGTTTTCGTGTTCTGTTAGATTACAGGGCAGCAGGCCTACCTTTGAAGCTCCTTTCTCTTTTGTTTCTCTGCTGTGCACTCCAGTAATTAACTTTGTCCTTCTTTTATTTGTTCCAGTCAATCGCAGTCCACTCTGCTGAGCATCTTCTCCCAGGAGTACCAGGTTAGAAGTTTTCTCCTTTGTGAGGGTTGACAGGTGCCTAATTGAATGATGAATGTCCCTTTATTTCTTTGTAATTGAACTGCCAGCTTTCTGATTGGTTTGGAGGATGTTCCCCTTTCCCCATCAAGCACCGCTTGAGTCTCGGTGGATGGCTGCCAAGCCTACCCATCCATCTGTCTAATAACATCTAGCCTTTGCTTATTTGGTGGACCTGTAATAAATTATGCTAAACCATTATTATTCTGACAATAATAATTTCCCTGTGTTGCGTGGTTCCATGTGCTAAATGTTTGCTGACTTGCACTGTCAGTGCTGCTTTCCATGGCTGACAGAGATGATGATAAATGACCATTGCCGGAGTGGCAGAAGGCAAGAGAGGCAGAAAATGGAGTCATTTATCATGAGATGACAGGTGTCAGTCAAGTGGCAAGTCTCAATGGAATTACTTTCTGTAGTTTTCAAATAAGTTGTTTTTAAACAATGTTCTTCCTGGTTAAAAATGCCAATTGAATTGTAAACCAGAGTGCACAGGACTTGGATGGAATTGATTTGAAGGGAAATTAATATAAAGGTTGAAAGAGAGAACAAGTTTTTCTTTTGCCCTCTGTAACCCTAAAGCAAACTTATTTAGATTCAATTACTATGACCTTACTGCCTTTTACATATATGCTGTATCATACTACAGTCAAAAGATGTTTCATTTAATATATAAATAAAAAATAATTTCTGAAACTACATCTAGGATTTCATGGGGGAGATGAGCGTGGGGGGAGGTTTCCAGGGATTTGTTACTGGTTGGATTTCTTACCTGGTTATTACAAACCTTTTTTTTTAATGTTTCAGAAATTAATTAAAAGAACACATGCAAAACATCATACTCCAGAGGCAACTGAAGCTTACTATCAAAGGTATGAGCTATTTAGACCATTGGATGACACATGTTCATATGTGATCCAGGTTATGGCGTTCACTTTTAAGGAGATACATACTAACAATCCTGCTTTCTGATTAGTTAGAGATGTAATTCCATCCTTGAATTTTCTAAAAATAAAAGGCAATTAGCTCCTGAGAAGGTCTGTCAGGTGACAATCCAATCATTCTGGGCATTGTACATTTTTCATTTAATACACACAGGTGATCTTAGTCCCATCTTTTTATTGAGGATTTTAGTTTTAATTTCTTGCAGACTTTTTAATTTCATATTCTAAAATGTTTTTGAGAATTTACTCACTAGTTTTAATATGTTAGATGATGCTAGTGGTGCTTAAATATCAACCATGTTGAATGCGCTTATGAGAAAAAAGTCTAGAATCTTAGCCATTTTTTAAAAATGGCATATAAATTAAGAAATGTTACTACTTGCTTCATAAACAGAGTTATCATAAAGCCTTTTAAAATAGCTGTAAACCTTTACTATATCAGTTCATAAAACTGTTCCTGATTATGTGCACCTGCAGTTAATAAAATGTAATTGAAATTAGTTTTAGGTTATTAGTATTTCTATTGACATAGACATCTCCACAACATAATTACATTATAAGGCTATCTGGATTGGATATTCAATGGGAATGTTACTGTATAGATTGAATAAAAATGAATAATGTTTTTGGCATGTAAGATTGTACCTTGATATCTGAGATGTATATTTTATTACTTTCCTTATAATTAAAAAGCTTACACACACACACACACACACACATATATATGTTCTCTCTCTCTCTCTCTCTCTCAATATGTATGTATGTATGTATGTATGTATGAATTTTATATCACATTTTCCTATAAAGGAGTGCTATATTATTTTTGTTTAAATTGTTTTAGCACATGAACTTCAGTGTAATCTTCATGCATTTGTTTATTGCTAGATTAAGAGAACTATTGTATTGTAAGAATTGAGTAGCAATTTTCTCTTAGAATTGTGTGTTAAATGTATGTGTGTGTGTGTGTATTTATAATAAACATAGGAATAATACAAAATCATGATGTATTGTCATTATACAATCTGTTATATACATTGCTGCTATAAGTAATGTTAAAAGTACTTAATCCATTACTTTTGTTGAAAGAAAAATAACTAAAAGCAACCAAGTTACTTTAATAATTAAATAAAGCTAAATATATAAATAAAATGCACTAGGCAGGCATAAATTAGAAATCATGTCCATAGTGAATCAGACGCATAAAAGCCTAATGAACATTAAGAAACTGTGTGATCAATAGCATTAAATCCATATATTTTAGTTAGAATTTAATGTTCCTTGTTTTGATATACAGTTTGTAATATTAAACTAGATTTATAATGTAACAGTATACATATCTGTTCAGAAATAAATGAGTTGAATTGAGTTTATTCACGAGGCAGGTATGAAATTGCAATCTCCAGAAGACTGTTCCAGTTATGAGATTATTTTAGATTAAGATCTGTTTATTTTGTTTCCTAGTGTATGAACATAGGCACTTACAGACATGAAAGAGTTCAAAAAGTGTGCCTGTTTGTTTCATAGGATCATAGGACTTGAAAAGACTTTAGCATCTTTCTAGTCTAAGCCTCTGCCCAGAGTAGGAACCCTCAGACCATCCCAGAATAACTGCTTAAACTTTGCTTGAAAACTCTGGTGGTAAAGCAGACTGTTCTACTAATTAATAGCTCTCAAAATGGGAATTTTCCTCCTTATTTAAGTTGTATATCAATCTCTTTAAAAAATTTATTTTACTCCATTTTTGTGCTGCTCTCAAGGCACCATGGAAAATAAAGCCATACACTGTTCTCCCTGGCACTTCACATGGTATTCCAAGTGTGATCTTCCCAGTGCAGCAAACATTGGAGTGGAATGATCACTTCCCATGATCTTGTCATTTGTATCTCAATTGATGCAATCCGAAGTTGCATTGACTGTTTTGGTAGCTGTAGCTTCCAAAAAAAAAAAATGTTCATGCTTAATTTATAGTTTGCCAATATATTCGAATTCTTCTCCAACGTACTACTCCTGAGCCAGGAATCACTTGTTTTGTAACCCATGTATCTCCTTTTTTCCTACCTAGAGGACAATATTACTTTGCTCCTCAGTGGACAGTATTTTGATGGAAAGTGTCTAAAGTTAAGTCTATCAAGATCTTTTAAAATCTTGAACTTTTCTAAAGTGTTAGCAATCCCCCAATCTTTGTGCCATCCTCAAATTTGATGAGTATCCTTTCTGCTTCTTCTTCTAAATGATTTATAAAAATGTTGAAAATCATTTATAATATTTATAATGTGCCCATTATTCAGTGTCTGTAGAAAACCATATCCATACAAACCAGACAAAAACAAAAACATGAATTAAAATGAAGAGTTGCTTCATTTATAAAAATAATTAAAATCATGGTGATAGAAAGGTATGGTTAGGCTTTAGGTACTAAATTCCAAAAATAAGAATGAAACAGCAAATTTTATAACAGAATAACAGAGTTGGGAGGGATCTTGGAGGTCTTTTAGACCAAACCTGCTCAAGCAGGAAACCCTATAACATTCCAGACAAATGGTTCTCCACTCTCTTTCAAAAACTTCTAGTGTCAAAGCATCCACAATTCTGAAAGCAAGTCATTTCACTGATTAATTGTCCTAACTGTTAGGAATTTTTTCCTTATTTCTAGGTTGGTTCTCTCCTTGATTAATTTCATCCATTGCTTCTTGTCTTACCTTCAGGTGCTTTGAATAATAGGTTGATTCCCTCTTCTTTGTGGCAGCCCCTGAGATATTGGAATACTGCTATTATGTTACCCTATTCTTTCTTTTCATTAAGACATCATTTTCATCTGGGTCCAAAAAATAGGTTGCAAGTTGCATTGATATGTTGCATTGACCCAAGCCTAACCTCCACAGGAAGAACCTTCCAGAATCAAGAGATCACAGCAAAGAAGAATCACTTCTTGAATTCCCCATAATTCCCCTCTCTTAGCTAAAGAAAAATGAGAAGAGATCGGGGTGGGATCCTACCAATTCGCACCTATTTGCTAGAACCAGTTGTTAACATTCTAAGCAGTTCGGAGAACTGGCTGTTAGAAGAAATTACTGGCCTAATCCTGTAAGGAAGGCAGGAAGGAAACATTCTGGTGTTGCTTACAGAAACTGCCTCTCAGTTGATCCTTATTACATTCTTGGCAGGACTAGACTTCCTGTCTCAGGAACGTCTCTGGAGTTTTTTTCACCTCCTTTGCTGGTACTTTGCTTGTGTGGAGTGACCATTCAAAGTTACAATGGCACTGAAAAAACTGAGTTATGCCATTTTTCACACTTATGACTGTTGCAGCATCCCCACAGTCATGAGAGGCCAGGCAAGGAGATACGTGCCTCGATATGAATGATATTGAGTTGGCCAGGCCCAGCCAATAACATGACCACCAAGCTATGCCACCAACTAAGCCACGCCCACAGAACCGGTAGTTAAAAAATTTGAATCCCACCCTGGAAGGGATCCTGAAGCAGGTGATAGTGCATCAGCCGTAAATACTAGGAAAGCCACTCACTAATGTATATGAAATCCTTACATTAGTGCTCTGAGTAAAATCTTTGTCTTTTCTACTGTAAAAAATAACATCATGAGAATTTAAAGGTGAAATGGAGTTAATTTTGAATGTGAGATTTTCAAACTTGTATTTGCTTGCAATTATTGCTTGTTAATATAGATTATCCTCCTTTTTTTTCACTGTGGATTCTGAACTCATCAGTATTACCTTCTGTGGTTATGCAGATAAATCAATTCCCGCACATTAATTTTAAAGATAGAATTTATGTAGGACTTTTAACTTGTATAAAATCCATAATGTACATTGAATTATGGCATAATTTAGGAGACATTGGCAAAGTCTGTCAACTTCCAAACAGAAGTACTAAGAAGAAAGATATGCTTAATACAGAAATGTGTTTAAGACAAAGTGTGGCTGCCTAATTATAATTCTCATTAACATTATGAAAAGTTAATATTTCTACTGCATCATTTTTCAGTGGCCTAGTACCTATAAATTATCAGTTTGTTATTTCTTGAAGTTTAAATCACAGAATTATCATAAGTTCTTTAGGTAAGATTTTATGCAATGGTCCTATGCACAATGATAATTACCATTTAATATGAATATCATTATTCTGTATGTGTCTATTAAAGTATGCCTAGAATAAGAAAGTAAAAATTAATGTGATGTTGGCTTGATTTTTAATGACAGCTTGGACACATCATGCACTTTTCTTGGCTGGATTTCAGAAATAGTTCTCCATGTCCTTCTTTCAGATATTTTACCCACTTCCCAATCTAGACTGCACTCTGGTAATCTTCCATCTAAATACTAACCAAGTATAATCCTTTTTGTTCTGCTTTTATTCCCAGCTCAGAGTCAAGTCCAAGGAGTTACTAAAAATTAGAGATACTTTCTTCCTTAAAGAAGGAAATTGCAAGACAATATAACAATTATCTAATCTCACTAAAATTAAGAAAAATATATCTATAAATAAATGCTAATTTATTTATAGATAATTTATTTATTTAATTTATTTCTCCCTCCCTCTCTATCTTCCCCATCTCTCTCTCCCCCTCTCCCTCCCCCCCTGTATCTCTTTATGTGTGTCTCTCCACCTTTCTCTCTCTCCCTTTCTCCCTCTCTATTTCCCTCCCCTTTCTCTGTATCTTTTTCTCTGCATCTCTCGCCCGCTTTTCCTCTCTCTCCCCTTCTATCTTTATCTCTCTTTTTCTATCTCTCTCTGTGTGTGTCTCTCTCTCTCTGTGTCTCTCTCTCCCTCTCTCCCTATCTCCCCCTCTCTTTGTGTGTGTCTCTCTAGGTCTCTGTATCTCTCTCTCTGTATGTGTGTATGTCTCTATGTCTGTCTGTGTAAGTGTGTGTGTGTGTGTGTGTGTGTGTGTGTGTGTGTGTGTGTGTGTGTCTTCTCTCTCTCTCTCTCTCGAAAAACCAAGACTGGCCAAGCCGGCAAGCTCTCCTTGGGGCTCTTCGCTACTCCTTTTCTTCTTTTTGGAAATCCGGGCTGGCTGAGTAACGAGCACAAGCAGCAGTGGAGGCCTTCTCCTCCTTCTCCTCTTGCAACCCCCTGGATGGCTGTGGCAGGGTCAGGAGGGTGCGCACAAGTGGGGAGACCCTCATTTAGCAACCACAATTGGGCTGGAAGCCTGTTTGTTAAGTAAATCAATTGTTAAGTAAAACTACAATTCTGCTTACAATCTTACTCCTGCTTTCCTTTGTTCAACAGGTCTGTGAAGATCATAAATGTGGGCTTTGGTCACAAAACTTTTTTTTATCACTTATTATTAATAACTGTGAAATGTATCTTTAGGAGGCAGTGCTAAACAAGGACTACCTGCACCTAATTCCTTCAGAAGATTGGAATGTATGATTCCATGCTACACAGATTTTTGCCAATTTGCCCCTTTCATCTTCCCACTTTTTAGTTTCCTGAAGATTCTACCCAACAGCATGACTAAATTAGACTCCTAAAATGAAACCAATTTCAGAATAGATAGTACAATTTAAAAAACAAAATACATTCCTTCAGAAATGAAATGGGTAGCATGCATTCATTTAAAAAATAAGGGTAAGATTACACATTGCCATCCAGATGTTCTGGGACAGAACTCCCATTATACCTAACATTTGGCCAATTTAGCTAGGTCTGATGGTTATTAAATAAAAAAATGACGATGCTTTAAAATTTAGTAAAAATTAATATTCACATGTGAGCATTAACAATTCCAGGTTTTATCTGTTATTATCTGAAATGTCAAAGTTCAGAAAATATTAAGATTAATATAATCTATGGTCAGGATTAATTTATTGATGTGCTAAAATGTGGAAAATATATATATCTATTTCTAACAATTCAGAAATACCTCTGTAATTGTTGTTTGCAATTTTAATTTCTGCAATGATTCTGAAATTAATAACCCTTACGTGTGCCATCCTGAACTCCAGAAAAAGTGGTTCTTAATATTAAATTGATAAGTAATAACTTAAACCATAGCTAGCTACATTAATGAAAGTGTGTGGTTTATAGGACGGATATTATATGTATATAGCCAAAATGATTTCAAAAATGCAAGGAAGTCTACAAAGGTATGCTCATCCACCTAGCCAGATCAAACTCCAAAGCTAAATCTGACATTAGCAGTTTATGCTAGAAAATCCTCAAATGTTACTGAATTAAAGCAGCTTGCCATGGAAGAACGAACCAAAACTGTGGCAGTATAAAAGATTTATCACTAATTTCACAAATATTTTGTTTTAATTATTACAGCTAAAGCTGGTACATCTACTGGTAATTACTTAATTTAACTAGGAGGATTGATTTTTCACATTGGTTACTTACTTTTTGAAATAAATGCAAGAAGTACCAAAACTTTAGGCAGACTTTGTATATAAGTAGAACTCACCTGAGCCTCTGATAGCAAAGTGGCAAAGATATGCGAACATTCATAAAATCCAAAGCAGATGAATACATTTACATAGAACCATATGTTTTATCACTAAGAAATGCTTGTGATACTTTAAAAAATATAGGAAAAGGTACTGTACTCTGCTCTGACTGTTCTTAATAGCACAATAGCTTAGTTTATGGGATTGAATATATCCATGGGAGGATAATAATATCAAAACATCTGGATCACTACTTGAACACCATCTGCACTGACAAAATCACCATCAGTCAATTGCAAAAAGCAGCTTTATTTGGGACAGCTTACATCCTGCAACATTGCCTTTAAGATTATTAAACAACAACATCTGCTTATCCCAAGTCCTTAGGAAGGGCTTGATAGGTGGACAAAAATGCCAAATCCGGTTTAAAATTCTGGCTTCTGGATGTCTCATTTTGCAATTACACTCGGATTCAACTAGACCTTGAGTTTTCTAGCTCTTGTCAACAGATATTCAGTAAATTTGGAGTAGCATATTCCAAAATATGTATTGAAGTCTTTAAATATTTGAAAGAATGTCCAGTAAAAGATACCCTTTGAAATACCACCTCATTTATCAGGGGTCTAAGCTCAAATATAAACAATAGAGCAGAACTGCTGAATGTAAACTGCATGTTTTCAAAAAAAACTAGTGGATATATATATAAAAAAATCCTCAATCCAACAACATAGTATGATGTACACCCTTTTTCTGTTCTGCAGAACCAAAGAAAGATAGATAGACCCATCTTTGGGATCCATTTATAAAAAAGGACACTGGCAAATTGGAGTGACTTTAGAGGAGGTTTATCAAGGTAGTGAGGGTGTGTGTCTGAAAATCAAGCTCTATGATGAGTAGTTTAATGGTTATATATAACTAAGGAGAGATATGATGGCAGCTTTCAAATATGATTGTTTATCACATAGCAGAGTAGTAGTAGTACCTAGAATGTAGAATGAATGGAAGAACAGTATTCCTTATAGAAATTCTTAGCCTGTGGAACAAGCTGCCATATAAAAAGGCAAAATTTCCCTTCCCTGCAGAAATCATGAAATAGAAGTCAAAAATTCATTTATTAGACCACCTCTAGTGGACTTTATATTGAACAAGGTATTGGATTAGACAATCTTAAAAGTCCCTTCCAATTCTGTGATTCTGTAACATGTGATAAATAAAGCACTAGGATGTCTCAAGGGAGCTTTTTCAAAAGGCAACTGGACTTTCTGGTTTTTCTTTGAGGATATTTCGCTTCTCATCCAAGAAGCTTCTTCAGCTCTGACTAGATGATATAGAATGGAAAGATTTATATTTGTTGCAGACAGCTGGTCATTTGCATTCTTTTAGTGAGTCAATAAAGTCACCTGGAAGTTTATCTGTGTTATCAAGGTCACCTGACTGGTGCAAATGGGTGTGGAGCCTTCTTGAAACTGTTGAAAGGACTGTGTTACAATGTAGTTACACTATAGTAGGAGGTGTAAAAGTAGTGTGAGACCTATTGTCTAGTTGAGAAAGCATTTATGTTCTAAATACTCTGCAAATGTTGGGAGTCTCCCTTTATATAAAGAATAAAAGCTTAACTTAAAAAAAATCTAATTCCAAATGTCTGCTTTGGCCTTTGAAAATAATGTATATTTTAGCATTTTCAGATTTGATATTAAGTGGAAATTGGTTGTCAGATGACTTGTTTTTCCTCTTGTTTGGACACATTGTTGGTTTTGTTCTTCCCTTAATAATGCTGGATGTGATTTCCTTCTATTGATCTTATAAAAAAAACCTCCTCTTTCCCAAATGCTGCCAAATCAAAGCTGTTCCTTATAATTCTACACTGAAGTGTATAACTACAATTGGGCTGTGTATACTTTTTTCACAGACATAATCTAATGTCCATAAATCCACATAACCTTCTAAATGATCCTGAGCATAATTTCTGTAGGCCATCATCTGCTTAGTCTCCCATTAAATATATTATGGTATAACCAACTGCACTTCTTTTCTCAAACCTCTACTCTGTTTATATCACTCTTGGAGTTCTACAAATGAATATATGTAACACTAGAGAGGGAAACCATTGCCCTTTTTATCAAATGTCTTTAATAATAATACAAATATTTTCATGAAGTATGTGTGCGTATATGTATATATATCTGTGTATGTCTATCTCTCTATAGATAGAGGGAGGGAATATCTAGAGTCAAGTTCATTGAGTTAGTTGTGCAGGTAAGCTTGAATGTTCAGTTTGCTGATATGGGAAGATATGGAACAGTCAAAGAATTTGTAGGCTAATTGTCACTCATTTCTGTCATTGCCAAATATTGAGAACACGTTCAGAAACTTAAAAATAACAGTTCTGTATTCTGTGTATCAGTGTAATATTCCTTTTTTTTCTTTCAGAATTTTAGTAATAATTGTGCTTTTGATTTGCTTAGAGTTTGAGATTAAGGTCAGCTTTCCAAATATTTATATCTTAAGCTACTGATATACATAATCTGTATTCAATTTATTTCTTGTCCTAGTGAAAGTGGGAAAGGCAGACCAAGGTAAAGAGAGACAGAGAGAGGTAGTAAGGCTTCATTGCTGACTTTTTCATTAAATCTACAACAGCTTTTTATTTTTGTCTTGTCTAGATACCTGAAAGGTGTGTCTAAAAATGCAGCCTCTCCTGTATTATTGGAACTGGCCAATGAGGTAATAATTTTTTAAAAGTCTTTTTATCAAAATGTACAATCCTTATCTTCAGAGGTTTTTAAGAAGTTTTCTTAAAATTTATGTAGTTTTAGGCACATCGTATATTTAAATGTTGATCTGTTTGTAATAGGAGCACAAACAAATATATTAATTAATCAGTTAAGGTAACCACATACATACACAAGTGATTGCCTTGCATATATGGCTCACTTTGAGCAACAAACATTTGAGTTTCTGAGGAACTAGCTTAACTGTTCTGTTTTTATAGAAATATCCATAATGTACAGTATGTTTTTACAATAAAATGAATTTCCTTTATTTTCAATTTTGTATAAAATTTTTTAATATAGGGTTTAATGGAAAAATGGGTTTAATATTAATGAAACTTTCATCATAGACATCAGAGTTTTAAAAAGTATAGTGTGAGTTTTAATTTTTTATATTGTTGATATCCACATTTAATAGAACAAAATTCCTGCATTTTGGGGATGAAACAAAAATGCAAATAGATAGTAAAAAATAGAAGCTTAGTTTAAGTGCAACATGGCTTCCTGAAATATTAGCCAGGTCACCAATGGACTCACTGTGACAAACCAATGTTTGTGTTAACCAACCAGAATGAAGACTACTTTAACGTGCTGTAATACATTGGAGAAAATTCTTTGCTACGGGAGGCACAGAAAGTTTATACACTTCCTATATGGTTTCCCAAGAGGAGTACTATCTTTTTAAACTTGTAACGTGTTTATATATAGTAACAGTATTATTTGATTTTAATATTGCAATATGTTTGCAAATAGTTCTGTAAGATTATAATAAATGCACTGGATTTATTTCTTTTAAGTGCTAAAAACTGTATTAAACCCAAACAAACAAACAAAAATGAAAATGAAACTGGACAGCAAGCTTTTGTCTAATTTACACTGCTGTAACCTACAATTGGGTAATTATCTATCAGATACTGGATGTTTTAATGATCTTTAAAATGTCTACATATTGTAACACTACCAAATGTAAAAGATTTTTTGTTCTGGTACCAAAGGGAAGGTTCTTGTAACTTCTGACATTTGTATTTTTATACTATTGTCTTTATTTTGGACAAAATAATATTATTAAATCAAATACAATACAATATTGTTCTAAATAAGCCCCTGGCCCTATATAGGCACAGAAATATTTAATGTATATAGTCTTGCTTACATCACCACCACCCCCCGCGCGCACACATTCAATCTCAATTTTTAACAGATAATTCTGGTACATAAAGCATTCCCTTATTCAGATACTATGTTAGAATATCTTAGCAATTCACAACTTAGGGCTTTTTAAACTGTAAATTTAAATAAATAAAATTATTTTAAAGTTTTAAGTTTAAAGCTTAAAATGTTGAAATAACTGTTTATATGCAGCTATATAGGAAATGTATATTTTTGTAATCAGTTTTAGCACATTAGGAAAACATAGCAATATCAAACATGTGATGTCTATTTCTACACAATCAAGTTGCCATTTTTATGTGGTAGTTAATATTTAAATGACAAATTCTTCCATCTGCTGACTATTGGTGTAATGGTAACACTTTGAGTCAATCAGTAAAAATTTATCAGAAACATACAACATGCATTCCAGTTTATAATATGCTAAATTAGAAAAGTGCCTTGTATTTTTATGAGATGTTGAAGGTTTTAAAAATATTAAATATGACCACTGTATAATTTAAAGTTTATTATTTTAAAATGAAAACAATTCATATATGTATTAAAAATAAAATTAGCCATTTTCACCAAATATTTTCTAGTGGAATTTGAAACAGTATGAATATTACTTACATGTTACATTCTGACATAAAGCATGATGGCCCTATTTCAGACAAAGATGGGTTCATGATTAATATGAAAATTAGGAAGATGCAAGTACCTGAACTAATAAGGTAGTCCTTATTCTGGCTGGTCTACCTTCAGTAATTTCACCATTTTTCATGTGTCAGCTCTGATGTGAGCTTCCAAGCAATTCTTTGTAAAAGGCATTTCTTTCTATTAGGGGGAATTTCAGTGTATCAAAGAACATATACATTGAGGAAAAAAGCAAGTAGAAATCAAAATAAGCTTTGTTTTCCTAAATATACAGTATATTTGAAAATATATAAAACAAAAAATGAAAAATGAACATTATCATTTGCAATTATTTTCCTTGAAAGTCTGGCATCTGGTCAAGAATATATTCCATATTGTTTAATAAATGTAAGCCTTAACAATGAAGTAGTAGATATTTTTAAATATATGTCCATTTCCTAAGCGTATTTGAGAAACCCATGTTTCTCTATATTCGTTTTTTTCTCATAACCTCTAGGTTATACTATACAAAGTGATTAATCTAGATATAACAGTACCTTTATATCTGGATTGTTATCACTACTAATTTAAAAAAATGAAATATTTTAAAGATTCCCTCAGAGTTTCCCAAACAAATAAGGTGTAGACATTCATGATGCATTCAACATTGCACAAAATTTGTCTGCATAATTTCAGTGGGTTGTAATACAATGTAGTAACATTTAAATTTATAATAGCTATATTGGAAAAATAAATTGAAATATCTTTGTTATTTGAGACATTATTTTGTTATGAAGAATGGGATAAAACTGGGGTAAAACATGTAATGATCTCCATCTAGAGGAGACCAAAGTGGGGAAGGTAATATTGTAATAATATTGCAGTAGCAAATCTGGTCCTGAACCTACATAAAAGTGCTAAGAAATGAAAATACAATCTCTCCTCTTCCCCACAATGAGAGAAAGAGAGCAGCCAAGAAGGAGCATTGAGCAATCTCAACCACAAAGTAATTTAGTTGAACTTGAAAACATGCATGGGCAGAAGGAACAGAGTATGCCAAAGGAGTCAGCTAAGTGACACTGTGAATTAATGAAGTCATACTGCAACCTTTTGTTTCAGGTTTCACTTCTACTGTATAAATGTTAAACATGTTGTTTAATCTTGTCCATGATCGTTACAAACAATGTAATAAACACAAATCAGTAAAATGAACTATTATGTCAATGTTTTAAAATTGAAATTCAAGTCCATACATTGCAACAAAAATACACTTGCATATAACATTGTTGTATGTTGTGGTCAAAAAGATTTATTTATCAGATTGTAACAAAACTCATGTCAGAGAAATGTAACTTTCAGAAAGGATGACTGAGATAATGGAAGATGCATCTTTGACACCTCTTTATTGATCTAAGTAATGAAATAAAACCACATTTTAATGAAAGTTGGTTACAGTTTATCTTTCTTCTAAGGTGGATTTTGCCCCATCACTTATGGCTCGAATTGTGTTAGAAAGATTTCTACAAGAACAAGATGGATCAGTACGTAAGTAATTTAAAAATATTTAAGCTTATTGATACACAACTAAAAATGTAAAGTGAATAAAAGGCAGCTTTTTAAATATCCAGTTGTTGTAGGGAAAAATTATTAAGGTTATATCTCATATTCTACATTGAGCTCTTGGAGGAAAGGCAGGATACAGATAAAATTAATTAAATAATTAAGTAAGAACCATAATTAAGTTGTTTTCGTCCTCTGTGGGTTTTTTGCACTGAATATGTTATCCCTAACATAAAACTTATATTAATTGCTGTCTTCAAAACACTCTTGTACAGAAAAATAATATTTCTTAATATTACATGTGGAATTGATTCTTTTACGATATAACAGTTATGGTAACAGATTATAACATACTATATATAATTGTTTACCTCCCTTTAAAAATACACTCTAATTGCCTGCTGTCATATTTTAAGGCAAAATATTACTGATAGAATTCTTCTGTTGGGGTGCAATCCTGTCATCAAGAATTCAAGAAATAAGGATGTTCTTGAATTTCATTTAGAAATTAGTAAGAATTCAAAGTTCTGAAACTGTAATTGGTTCATGGCATAAATAATTTTGCCAAATAATTATTGAAAAGAAACAATCTACTTTAATATTCTGGAACCTCAAAACTTTAAGGTGAATTTAACTGAGTTCAGTATTAGACAGAAAAAAATGAAAAGAATACAGCTTCAGGAGGGAGGTTCAAGGCTAAATTAATTTGCCACTGAAAAAATACATTTTGTTATTTTCTCTGTGTCAACTGCATGATTAAAACCGGCTGTTAAGTGAACTCTGGGGATGTGCTCGTAAAAGATTTATGAGTAATATTCAATGTGATATTCAAAGTGAGTCATGAATATCAGGGTAATTGCTCTCAGTGTTGGCTCCTTTACTAGGCAGGAGTTTGTCAATTGCCCCATAAATATTTGCCTAGTCTCATGTAAGAAAGACAATTTCATCTTTTGCATTTTTATTATCTATTGTAATGTTTACATTTGAAATTTGACTATGAGAATGGTGAAAGGATTTAGAACATACTTGACAAATGTATTTTTTTTCATTCTTTGAAGGTAAAAAATAAGCAGTCTGGAAAAAAAAATCTATCATCCAATAGATTAAAAAAGGGATTTATTATTATTATTCCTTTCCTCTTTTATTTTTTTTTTAAAGCTAGGGTTTTTCTATATGCCTTTTTTATTTTAGGGGGGAAGCTTTGTGGTTGGTGACTGGTAGGGTTACTTCATGACAGTTTCATTTGAATGAATTAAAGTACTTCCTTTAAAAATTCAATATCATTTCAATAGATGTAGCCTTTAAAGTAACCTGCAGTGATGCTTCATGAGCAAATCACATGATGTCAGAATGGTATGGTTTCGATTTAATCAAGAAAGAGATTAAAGTGGATGTGTGTTATTTTCAACTTCGCTGCAGCACCTCCATTTGTCAAAGTCAACCTTCTGATTGCTTTGGACCTACTGCTATCCAGATCTTGTCAAAATAGTAGTCTGCACAATCTGAGGCAGGTAGACTACTCTCTGCTGCACCGTATCAGACCCTATAAAATGGAATATGTTGGCTTGTGAATTATAAAGCTAATAGATTGATCATAAATTCTGCAGCTGTTTAATCTATTTTTATAATGGTGGCACAGCTTCAACTCATTGTATTTAATTTCCATCATTCTGTAATATTATATAGTCAAACAACTGAATAGAAGTTTTTAAATGAATTGTGGCTAAGAATCTTAATCTTGTGGCTAAGAATCTCCAACATTGGCAGCGCAAGGCTTTAGTTTATGTGCTAACCATATTTAGAATACAACTGTTTTTAGAAAAAAAATGTATTTTATGCACCTATTTTCTAGAAAGAGAAAGAACAATGGTTTCAACTGTGTATATTCAAACATGCTATTACCTTGAAATATTTCTATACTGTACTAGTGTTTTGATTATTAGAAATGTTATTATTTCCTTTTGGATTTTTAATAACAAATTGATGTGATGCATTCACTTATCCAATTCCCAAGCTCAGAGTGTGTGTGACTGCAGTTTAAGCTAACATTAATTGCCAGTAGTCTGAATGTCAGCATAAAAATCTTAACTATGGTTAAAGTAACTGTAATATAGTAATGTTTTCCAAGAGAATGCTTCTTTTGAAGGTGGGGGGAAGCTTTTATTCATGCCAGATGAGGGGGCTCCATGGAGTTGGCACAAAGTGATCTTAGAAAAGAGCTGAAAGGTGGGGTAGCTTTTATTCTGACATTCTCTTCTCCTTTCACAGCAATGACCTGGCTGGCCTTTGGCAATGAAATTCAATGCACATGGCTCTGCAGTCAAATCATCAAATTTCCCTGTGTGTATATTAGAGTTTTGTAATGTGTTTCCATTATGAAGCAATGCAGGGATAATTGTCTTTGGTAGCAATTAGCTAACAGGTTTGTTCAGTACTATTGGCAAAGGCATCCATCATCCCCTCCCTGACCACACTTTTTGTCTAGCTCGGACTATGGAGATCAATAGAATTCTATATAGGGGAAATCACCCCAGCTTTAATGAGCTGCTGGCCTCAGTCAGTCTTGGTTTGTATTTCTAATTTTTACCTTTAACAGTAGATGAGGGGGAATCTTCCCATAGGGGCAGGTGTGTATTGTATATGTACTATTACTTTCAGTAGATCAATGTATAGCTTTAAATTGTTCTATACTGAAAGGTATAGGAATTGACACTGAGAGACTGACAGAAACAGTTTATTGCTCTGGTTTAACAATATACAGTTTTGAAAATGATTATTGGACTTAGATTTCACTTTTAAGCTGAATGATTTATATATATCAAGGATTGCAGACTGTATTTATCCAAAGTCATATCCCCTTCAGTTACACAGCTGGAAGGAGGGGAAAAAAAGAACCAGGTTTTATTTGAATCTTTTGTGATTCATTACATTGCAATCCTGTCCATACTCACCCAAGAAAAAAAATATTTGGACATTATGATATATGCTTCAGCATAATTCAAATCAAATGTATTATTATGTATTGTTATCAGAGATCACCATATCAATAAAATAAATAAAACCAAAACAGATAAAAATTAATAAAGTACACCCTGGCAATTATCTTTTTGACCTGCTGCCATCTGGACGGCGTTTTAGGTCAATAAAGTCCCACATCACTAGACTAACCAATAGTTTCTTTCCCTGGACCATCCAAACCGCAAATAAACACAAAGTCGCTACCTCATTAAGATGTGAAAAGATGTGAAATCTTAATACCCCATTCAGATGTATAATAACATATTACAGTACAATCCATCTCTTGTGTATTATACTTGGCTAAGTGTTACAGTCAGTGTTGGATGTATATTTTGTGTATATTCGTAGATATTGTACTCTCAAATTGCAAATGGAGATGTGGGTACTCTTTCTTATCTTCATTTTTAAGTGCTTTGTTTTATTATATTGCGAACAGTTGCTGGGGTGCATCCACAGTTTCATTGTACTTGTACAATGACAATAAAGTTCTTCTAATTCTAATATTAAGGGTATTGACTGACAAATTCATCACATTTGCACTAGTTATTGCAACTTTTTCACCCAGCCACATAAAAATTGGCATCTGAGTTCATGTAGCATGGTGGGGGGCTAAAAAAAGGATATGAATGGAATATGTCTCTGTCCTTGGGAGATGTTGCTTGTACCTGTAAAAATAAATAGAATATGTTGAACAATTTCTATTTCTTCAGAGACACATGGATAGTTGCATTACATTAGTGAGGTTTTGGTGAATATTCCTGCAATAAAGTCAATGGAAGCACATTTTCCCTAGCTCTAAAAAACCCTTTCTTGGGAAGGTTAATATCTAGTAGCTTGCACCTGTGCCTTTCACTATCAGAACCCTGATATGGAAAAAGGTGCTGATTTCATTTTAGTATTCATTATCATTCAACTTTTTAAGAACTATTTTGTCCCCTATGGTGTGGCATGTTGTGGAATAGCAAAGAGTCACACATATCTTCATGACTGAACAACAACAACAACAACAACAAACCTAGATGATCAAAAGAAATCCATGGCAAGCTCAAAGTACCCCATTCCCTCATCCATGAAGCATGAGGAATGGTCATGTTTCAAAATTACTGGAAACAGGCCCTTAGGATGAATGTTACCTTTAACCAATATGTTATGATTCACCATTATGATTTTTCTTCTACTTGGGGCATTCTTGGACCTAGGTACTATGCTTTTGATACACCATGGAGCTGGCAGTTTGGATCTTAGCAAATATTCTCTTGAGAGAATATTTCTTCATATAAAGTCATATCTACATTACAGCAATTGGTTATGCCTAGTCTATTGAAAAGAAGGACTAGTGATGATATAATATTGTTCCAATATTTGAGAGGCTGCCACAAAGTACCAGAAGGCAGGACAAGAAGCAATGGATGGAAACTAATCAAGGAGAGAACCAAAACTAAGGAGAAATTTCTTGACAGTGAGAACAATTTATCAGTGGGACGACTTGCCTCCATAATATGGATGCTCCAACACTGGAGATTTTTAAGAAGAGATTGGGCAGCTATTTATTCAGAATGGTATAGGGTCTCCTGCTTGTGTGGGTGTTTGGACTAGAAGACCTCCAAGGTCCCTTCCAATTCTGTTATTCTGTTATCTTCCACATAAAACCGAGCAAGAGTTTTTGCCTTGAACTGTTTTAGGACTGCTGGTATTAATTTCCTCCCTTTGGTATAAACTTTGTCATATGATTGTATTATAACTGAAATATTTACATTCTAAAAATGTATTATGGCAGAAAAGTACAGGCACTAACTTCCTAGGATCAAGAGCTCTAAATCTGGTGTATCTTGTTGTTTAAATGCTATAAGAAAGTATCTAGGGATCCAGCAATCTAAGTTCAACATAAAAAGTTATGCTTATTTATTTTGTTAATGAATGAAGTGACTGCTTTCTAACAATGATTCAAAATAACTTCTAACTTTATT